GGGAAACAGGTCCGCGAAACCTGACTCGAGCCGAACAGGCCATTCGATAACGTTCTGCTGTCGTCATTTTGTTTCCGAGCCCTGTCGTCGCGCTTGCTGTAGCTCTTGCTGGCCATGCCGTCGTTGCTCTCCTGATCGGGGTTGCCTGCTCTGAACTTGTAGTGCGTGTAGTTGCTCTTGACGATATTGTTTTTCGCCCTGCGTCTGATTGCTCCTGCTGCTCCTTATCCTGTCCGCGTCTCGTAGTGCTCGTGCTATGTCTGCTGCCTTCTGCCTGCTCGCTGCTCGTCTAGGCGCTTGCCGGCCCCCCTGCAAGGCCCGAGACTCCCGGGAAGAAGCGCACTTCGACCCGGGGGGCGCCCCCGGGGCCTCCCGAGGCAGATGTCGATGGATAGATACAATCGCCGCCTGTTCCAAATCCCATCGGAACCTCCTTCGCGCGCAGCATCCAGCGCTCAGCCCCCCGCCCCCCCCTCCCGAAGGTTTCAGACAGTTGCCCAGATGCGGCATAGAGTGCCCGCCGCCAGCGCGAGCCAAGGGAAGTCTGACATTCTTATCTGGGAGATCGAGCCCCGACTGGAACGCGCGCAACAATGCCTTCAGCTCTACGGTAGAAGCAGCGGCGCGACCCCCCTGACCAAGCGCGCAGGGATCACGCCGCTGAACACGCCGAGCATGATCGGGATGATGACTCCCTCTGTCGCGGCGCAGACTTGGGCATTCCCGAAACGATAAATTCTGCAGTGGGGCATCGTCTCCAGCCCCGTGTCGCGGCGCTCGCGGATGTGCTAGACCCGAGCGTCGTGCGCCTGGGGGGCCCATCGCGTTCAACCTAGGCGCCGTGTCTACTGCTCCCCATCCGGGTCTGCCCGACTTCTCGATGTCCACCATCAGGTTGACATGCCCCGCGAAGTTGGACCTCGACGCCATCTTCGCTTCCGAAGCGACGTAGCTGCACACCTCGTCGTCCAGAACGGTCATCGCGATGCAGACTCCTGTCGGTTGGACCTTGTTATTGGAGTCATCGGGGCACGCCTTGTGCCAATGTCCTAGCTTCTTGCGCATGCCGCGCTTGGTCCGCTTCATGATGTCCTCGAGATTATCTTCCCTTCTTCTTCGGTCCCTGCTGTTGCGGAACACCCTGTTGGTCCCCCTGTCGGCAACGATATTCCAAGCCCCCCATCCACGTCCTGGGCGTCGGCGGAGGTGCGACAGCGTCTCCTCGTGGCCCAGCTTGTCGCCCGCGCCTTTCGCCTCGCCCCCCTCGGTGCAAGGCGCGCTCGCCATCGCGTCGTAGATGATGGTGTCCTCCTCGTCGCCGTCGGAAGGCGCATGCTCATTTTTTCTCGCACCCCTGCTAAATAAGCTGGCCTCGTAAGCGTCGTCTCGTCGGTCGCCGCGTCGTCGCCAGTCACGCACGTGAAAATCGCAACCAGCTCGTTCACGTCATAGTCGCACCCCGTCTGGATGAATACCTGGCTTCGCCCCGTCTTGGCTAGGCCTGCCCCCTGCAGTAGTAGAAACCCCATCGCCGTCTCGGCAAGGGCGATTGGGGGGCAGCCTGGCCAGCTCCTTGTGTTCAGCTCTGACACCGTTGGTGAACTTCATCAGTGCCTCCTCGCGCGATCTCGGTGCCGCGAGCAGCGTCTTTTCCAGCTGCTGGAAGGTCTCGGCGTCTGGCTCTAGCAACGCGAGCGTGTCCAAAACCATGATGACAGCCTCAAGCCCTCCAGCGTCCTGCACACTCATGGTATTATTAGATGCCGTGTCGCCGTCGCCGCCTCCTTCGTCAGGTACAGCAGTAGCGTTTCTCCCTGCTCTTCTGGTGGTATTGCCGTCAGTCGACACCACCTGTCTATCGCCAGCCTCTTCTCTGGCCGCTCGCTGAAATCTTTGCCGTCCCACGAAAAACAGGGAGAGTGTTCTCCTCGGCGCGTTCCTCTTCGATGGTCTCCTTCGTGCTCGTCATCTCGGTCTTGCTTACCTCGAGCCACCACCGCCTTCTTGACCTGTTTTGGCGTGCCGAATCCTCTCGAATCTGAGATGTCTGGGTGCGTGTCCGGTCCGTTCTTCTCGAACGGGTGGCCGTGCTTCTCCCCAGAGAATCAATCATCATAGTCGTCGCTTGCCCACCAAACTCCCCAGTCGACTTGATCCCCATGGCCCGTTATCGAATCGAGATCCTGCGCCGCTCTGCGCTGCCGACCCCGCCTTCGACAGGGGTCCCGTGTGCCGTCGTCGATGCTGTCGTGATGTTCGCCCCTGCTGTCCTTCGGCTTCTCATCGCCTACGATGTCCCAGTTTCGCTTGTCTACGTCGTGGCTGCTGTCGTTGCCGTCGCTCCGCTTACCACGTGTGGCTATACTCTCAAATGCTAGCATGCGTCGTCGGAACATCGATACAACGAGGGAAATCGAAGGATGCGGTGGCAAGCGCTCTCAGCACCCAGCGCGCATGCTCCTAAAAAGGGGGCCGACAAACCCCCCTTCCCCTAAACCGAAACGGCGGTAAAAAGGAAAAGGGGTACAGGTTCTGGGCTGAGACCAGTCAACACCTGAAAGGCCCCGGGATGCTCCTAAAGACCTCCGAAGGACTCCGAGGGCCTTCTATATTCACATGCCCTGGGAGCGACGAGCAGCACGTCGAGACTTGTAGATGCGATCCTTGGAAGACCCGCCGCCTAATCCAGTCGACCCGAGCAGCCACGACCGTCGCAGAGGTCGCCCGCACCCGCCGCCGCAGTGAGCGCAGGTGCGCCCGCAAAACCATCGAACAGGCAGGTGTCTGGGCCAAAGAGGCTATGACGACGATGATGGCGATGATGACGATGATGATGATAGTATTGATGATGATACCCGTGATGATGATGATGGTGATGCTGATGGGGATGCTGAACAGGATGATGGAAATGATGATGATGCTGATGATGGTGATGATGCATGAGGATATGAATTAGAAGATGAAGCGGATGATGATGATGATGATGATGATGATGAGTGGAGGAGGGAGGAAGAAGAAGGACAAGAGAGGAACGCGGGGCGCCGTCTCTTCAAAACGAAGACCCAACACCACAATATCGTTGGGAAACATCCGTACGAAGTGTCCGTGCTTCCTCTCAGCATGGCCTGTCTTGTCGTCGAACTGCGTGGCAAAAACGGGACGCGGCGCACATCGCGCGCGGACGTTTGGGGCAACACCGGGCGGGAGGGGTCATCTTACTTTTGAAAAAACCAATACAACATCGACATGATTCTTCTCAACGAGGACTTTCTTGTCGTCGGATTTGCGAAATGTGTGGCAAAAGTGGGGCGCGGTGCGCATCGCGCGCGACACGGCGAAATGTCGTTTCCGCCTTGGCGCCGCGCGCATGTTTTCTGAAAGTTGCGCCCCCGCTCAGGCGCGGCGCACATTTTTTGCTCGCCAATTCGTCGAGCACCTAAGGCCTAGGGCCCCTCTGGGGCGCCCCCAGGGTCTCCTGGAGCATCCTGGGGTTCCTGGAGGTCCCCAGGGCCTTGTGGATCCGCCTGGGGCCTCTTGGAACATCCCGGGAATTCCTGGATTTCCCTGGGTCTTCCTGACACCTCCTAAAGTTTCCAGGAGCCTCCTTGAAACTCCTGGGGCTTCGTGGGCCCTCCTGGAGCCTCCTGTGGTTTCCTGGGGTTCGCCTGGGTTTTCTGCAACCTCCTGGGGTCTCCTGAGGCCTCCTTGGGCCTCCTGAAGTTTCCTGGGGCCTCCTCGGCTCGTGCTGCAAATGCCAGCGCGGTCTTTGAGACACGCCAGGGATTTCCCATCGGTGACCGCCATCGCGGCTGCATCACCTGTGGCAAACCACCTTGCCGATCTGATTTCGGCCCGCATTTGCGCGGGCATGCCATGCTTACCTCGCTCGAACAGGCTAGCTTGACTCCTACCCCTACTCTTACTCCTACTCCTACTTCTTCTTCTCCTTCCCTCGCCCCCAAGGAGTGGCCCGAAGAGGCCCTCCAAGGCCACGCCCTTGCTCCCAGAGATTTCTCTGCCCACCCTGGTCGCCCGCTCTGTTTCACTACATGTGTCTACTCGCCCCCTTCCCCGTCAACTCTCATGGACAGGGCGTGTGAATGTGCTGATGGGGATATTTTCCGTCGCAGCCGCAAGCGAAGACGCAGGCGTCAGAGGTCAATCCGGGCTACGGGCAGAGCCTAATTGCCCAGCGAACGCACTCACGGCTGCCGAGGCTGCCGCCGAGGGAGGCTGAGGGGCGCCAGGGGCTGAAGGCAGGCTGCGAAAGCTGCCAGGAAAGCCAGGCTACCAGCGTGCGGGCGCTGATGGGGATACGCGAAGCGTGAAGAAGATGGAGACAGGGCGAAAAACTACTCCCGGGAAAGCGGTCGGGACCCCTGGGGCAACGGATAATCATACCAGCGCGTGTCAGGGTCTCGGTTTCCTTTCCACCGCCTTCCGCCGAGCTTCCGCCGAGCTTCCGCCAGCGGAGCCGCGAATGCTGCAGGCACGTCTTGAACTTTGCAGTTTTCTTTGAATTCGTACGCTCCCACCGAAGCGATCCAGAGGAGGCGACAGCTATCGGCGTGGTGCGTAGCCACACTTCTAGCTTGCTGTAACGCCAAGCTCGCTATGGACCCTCAGGTGGACACGATTCGCCATCTGGCACCTCATGCTCTGCAAGCTACAATCTGGAAAGGTGCCCCCCGCCGTCCTAGCTGCGTAGCGCCGCGCGCAGCTCCCGAAGGCGCCGGACTGACCGGCGCCTTCCCAGGCGCCCGCGACTGCCCGGGGCGCCTGCTGTCGGCCCGTCGAAAGCAAAAGCTCCCCGCCGACCAATTATGTGGCGGAGCTCCGCGCGCAAACATCCCAGCACGACGACGACGACGACGACGACGACGACGCCAACTGGCGCGGCCAGCGGCGGCACCGCCAGCGCAGAGCTGCACAGGCCGGCGTCCCCGCCACAGAGGCGCGGAGGGCGTCCGCCGGCTGAGTGCGGACGGCCCTGCGGACGCTCACACCCACACCTCTGTGCATCGTTGAACCGATCCCGATCCCCACGGGCGTGGCCCGGGCCACACTGCCGATGTATCCCCCTAGATGGGGATGTAGGCTGTCCCCTTCGAGTTTGTAGGGGCACATCCCCAACTAGGGTGTTGGGATGGTGGGGATCTGGATGGGGATGAAGAATGGGATAGGGACGGGTTAAACGATGCTGAACCTCGGCGGCGGCCTCGCGGGCCGCATCCCCGTCGCCCGCCGCCCCCCGCGACTCCGTCGCACGCGGCCCCTCCCTGGGCGGAGGATCGGCCGCGCCCGCCGAGCGGGCACTGGCGCCGGGCGCCTTGGCGGCGAGTGCCGCGACCTCGTGGCGCAACGACATGTACTCGTTGCACGCCAGTGCCACCATCAAGATCACACCGCCGACCAGCGTCCACGGCGACGGCGTCTCCCGCATCGCGATCCACACGAGGAAAGGGCCGAGCACGAGCTCGAGCAGCATGAACATACCGACCTCGGAGGACAATATGTACTTGGGGGCAATGGCGAAGAGGGCGTCCGCCACGGGCAGCAACGCGGCGCCGTTCAGAGCGCTGGGCACCAGCCCGGCCACCCCAGACGCGGGCCAGCACTCCTCCCCGACGCGGCCTTGCGCCAAGACGACGCCCAGTGCGACGGAAAAGACCGATGCGGGCAGCGCGGCGGGGACGAGCGTCGCCTGCGGGCGCGCGATCTCCGCGTGACGACAAACTGTCAGGAGGGCGGCCATCGCGACACCGCAGCACAGGGCGATTGTGTTACCCAGGACCGACTGCCTCCCGGACGCCGCCTCCTCGCGCGTGCCGCCCCAGAACGCCAGCGCCACGGCCCCCAGGCTCACGACCAGGGCCAGAGCGGTGTGCCGCTGCGGCCACTCCTGAAACCACACCACGCTGAACAGCGCGCACCACAGCGGGCTGAGGCTCAGGAACACCAGGTTATCTGCGGCGGTCGTGTGCAGCGCCCCCAGGGTGAAGAGCAGCTCCTGGACGCACTGGAGAACCGCCGCCGCCCAGAAGTGCCACCCCGCCGCCCTCGCCTGAGCGAGGTACCCCCGCGGGCCGCCGTACGCCACCAGCCCGAGCCCGACGAACGTCGCGAGGAGCTTGAAGAGGTACTTGTGCAGCACGACGCAGTTCGCCTGCTGGGGGACCACATGCGAACCCTGCCCCTACCCCCCCCACGATTTCTGAGGGGGAGGGGGGGGCGGTCACTTCGCTCGGGAGCCTCGGAACGAAGTAAACCCCACCCCCCCCCCTCAGAAATCGTGGGGGGCAGGGGCAGGGTTCGCATGTGGTCCCCTACCTGCGGCAGCTGCAGCTCCGCGTAGCGTACCAGCACGCTGTCGGGCGACAGGCAGACCACGCCCGCGATGGTTACCAGGACGCCCTTCGTGTGCGAGGACAGTGCCGGCGCCGCGCCGCGCCCGTCTGCGGCCATCGCGCCTGGCGCAGGACACGTATGGAGAAACAAAAGCAACCGAGGCCGAAGTGCACTTGAGCCAAAATGGCTTGGAAAGAACGTGTCCACGCTTCCGAATACACTAGGGGCCCGACCACAAGAAACCTTCTACAAGAAACCCAACCTTGAGACCCTAGGACGTTCATTGATTGCTGGTGGGAAAATCACGCTTTCCATAGCAAAACCGCCGAAACCGAAGAAACCCTCCCAGCAGCTGGCGAAAGTGGTGACAGTTGCGCAGTGGGCAGAGCCCAAGCAGGCAGGTGTCCCATTTAGGTGCTGCTAAGACGTCGCTCAGATGAGGCTCCGAGTAGCGCACGAAAGTGGCGCCTGTTGCGCAGTTGGCAGCACCCAGGCAGGGCGGGGTCCCACATGGGGCTCCGTAGGACGTCACAGCGCTCCGCCTCTCAGGAGCTCACGAAAGTGGCGATCAGCTGCGCAGGTGGCAGTACCCAGGCAGGGCAGTTGCGCAGTTGGCAGCCCCCAGGGAGGGCGAGGTCCCTTTTCTGGGCTCGCGTGGGACGTCACTCGGCTGGACCTCCCAGGAGCTCACAAAAGCGGCGACATCTGCGGACCTGGCGAGGTCCCTTTCGGGTCCCCGAGGGGCGTCACTCCGCTGGACCTTCCAGGAACTTACGGAAGTGGTGGACATGTAGGTTGTTACAAGTGTTCGTGGCCTCAGAAGCGCGGGTCCTTGGTTCGTTATTCGGAAACGTGGCATCAGCGGCGTTGTATAATGTATTATTTCTTTGGCTAGGGATCGTGGCTTCGGAAGCGCGGACCCATGTGCTTTACACATGATCGTGGACCCTGGAGCGCAGATGCGTTTTGAGACGAGGCGTCGTGGGCTTGAGGGCGCGGATACTACATAGTTCTGTGAAGAGGGAGTAGGCCGTAGTGGGTGCCGTATAAAGAACCATCGCGCGCGCTTCGCGCGCGCTCAAGTTCTAGCTAGCTTGAAGGATAGCGCGTAGCGAAGGATAGCGCGATGCGGCTCTTGGGCCGTCTCGGGGCTCTCTTCGAGCCTGTTTTGAGCTTCTTGGGGGCCTCTTGGGGACTCAAGGGGGCCTCTTGGGGCCTCTTGGGGACTTCCAAGGGGCCTCTTGGGGCCTCTTGGGGGCATGTTGGGGCGGAAAGCTTGATTTTCAGTTCGCGTTCCCTCTCTTGGGCCCCTCTTGGGGCCTTCTTGGGACCCTCTTGCGCCGTCTTGGGCGGCTCTGGAGCAGTCTCGGGGCTCTCTTGGGCCGTCTTGGGGCCCTCTTGGGGGCCTCTTGGGCCGTCTTGGAGCGGTTTGGGGAGCCTCTTGTGCGGTGCTTTAGCGCTGGAAACACGACACAGCGAGAATGCAAACATAACACTGAAAAAAACAATGATAATCAACGATTTGCCCTCTCGGGGCGTTCTTGGGCGGCATCTTGACGGCCTCTTGGGGCGTCTAAGGGGCCTCTGGGGCAGTTTAAAACGCATCGTGCGTCGCCAAAGACCCCTGGACGGCGTCTTGGGGGTGTCTCGAGACCGTCTGGGGCCGCCGGGATTGCTGTCTGAGGGCTCCCCAGGGCGATTTTAGGCTTCCCAAAAGCGGGCCCGGGCCCTGGGGCTTTGCGTTCGAGGTTCCGGCCCTCGGCCACCGGGTCCGGTGCGCGTTCTGCGCATATGCGATACGATGCTATGCTATGCTATGCTACGCCATACTGTGTGATGCGATGGTACGCTATTATATGCGATGCTATGCTATGCTATGCTATGCTATGCCATGCTATGCTATGCTACGCTATGCTATGCTATGCTTGGCCATGCGACGCCATGCTCTTCTATGCTGTGCTGTGCGATGCTATGCAATGCTACGCTCTGCTATGCGATGCAATGCTATGTTGTAGCTCCAGTTGGCCCCCCCTTCCTCCCCCTTTCACCACAGACACACAACCTCCGTATCACCCGAAGGGTGGTCGTACATGTAGGTATTAACTGGCAGGATCTCGCGGCCAGAGACGCAACCGCCTCGCGCAAACTTGCCTGGAATAGGAACGATCTGGGAGGAGCGGGGAGGGGTGGGTGTCTTGTGGGCCTCTTGGACTGTCTCAAAGCGCACTGGGATCCACAGGCGCCTAATGAGTCCGTCTTGGAAGGCTCTGTGGGACGTCTTGGGGCGATCCTGCGGGCTTCTTGGGCCGTTTTGGATGCCTTTTGGGGATGTCTTGCGGCGATCTTGGGGTTATCTCAGCGCCTTCGGGCCCTCCGAAAGCCCCCCGAAGGCCCGCAATGAGTCCCGGACCCCGAGGGACACAGTGGGCACCGCGGGGGGAGGGGGGAGTTTTGGAAAAGTGGGCCGCCTCGGGCCCTAGAGGCCTGGTCGCAGGGTCCGCATGGTGATGGTGGGCAACTATGATGAGCGCTTGCGCGCTGCAGTCAGAGCCACCTTGAGCCAAAATGGCTACGGATACTCGTGGAGCGTCTTTCGGGGCCCCTTTGGGGCCTCGTGGGGCCTCTAGGGGGCCTCTAGGAGGCCTCTTGGGCTCTGTTGGGGGCCTCTTGGGGCCTCCTGGAAGCCTCTTGGGGTGGAAGGCTCGAATTGTCGGTTCCTACGTGCTGTGCCTGCCACACTGCGGTGATCCTGAGGCTCTGAATGTCGGGGGCGCAGACATGGATCGGGGGAGGTGCCATCCCCAAAATGCGGCCGGTACCGCCTCGCTCGTTGGCGGAAGCCCGCGATTTCCCCTGGAAACGGTACCCGTCGCTAATCCACGCCCCACTAAACCATGTTTGCGATCGCCTAAGAGTAGAGGAGGCGTCGGAGGTGCAGAACAATCGCCTCGCTCGAGACATCCTCAAACATCGGGGCGCGAACGGGCCAGTGCCCTCCCGCTCGGGCACCCGGCCGCCAAAAAGGGGCAGGTCCAAGAGTTCTGCCTCCCAGAAGCACAGATGGTCGACGCATTCAAGGTCCTCCTCGTCTTCCTCCTCCCCTCTCCTCTTCCTCCTCCTCCTCCTCCTCCTCCTCCTCCTCCTCCTCCTCCTCCATTCCTTTCCCTTATATATTACTTCTCCCTGTCGCACCCGAGGCCAGTTTGCAGGGCGGGCTAGGCGTCTCGCATGAGGCTTCCTCCCATGACCCTGAAGCTTTAAACATGACAACAGCTTCACGGATTGAGGGCGGGTGGTTTTCAAAACGTGGCTCTCGCTTTGGCGCCGCGCACATTCGGTTGAAACATTTGCAAGAGTTTCACGGATTCAGGGCGGGTGGTTTTCAAAATGTGGCTCTCGCTTTAGCGCCGCGCATGTTGTTTTAAACAAGCAGTTCCCTCAGTGAAAATGAACCGTTGTAGGGGCCTGTGAATAGGGAGCTTGGCGGGAGGGTTTATTCCAACATGGGTTCCCACTGGTCCTCCTCCTCCCTCCCCCTCCCCCTCCCCTTTCCCCTCCCCCTCCCCCTCCCCCTTCCCCTCCTCCTCCTCCTCCGCCTCCTCCTCCTCCTTCTCCTCCCTCCTCTCCGTTGCTGGCAGTATTTCCTCCTCTCCTCTCCTCTCCTCTGCCATCCCCTTCCCCTTCCTCCCCCCCGGCCACGCAAGGAGGCGGGGGCAATGTACCTCCGCGCCCCCTGGTCCTTCAGCTTGGCGGAGCCGGCCGCCATCTGGGCCGCGGCGAAAGCACTCCAAAACGATTGTGAACAACTCTTGCTTGGCCAAGACTGTTTTCTGTGCTCAAGAAAAGCTGCGCAACCCGTGAACATCAACGCCGTGAACATCAGCGCGACAGAGAAAGAAAGCGAGAGAGAGAGAGAGAGAGAAAGAGAGAGACAAAAAAAAGGGGGGAGGGGTCCACAACGATTCCTTGGAGGGCCCTGGGCACGTATGTGCCCACGGGTTCGCTGCAAAAACTATCAGGGGGAGTGAGACGGAGAAGTTGACAGGGAAAGTTGGTAGGGGGAGTTGGTGGGGGGAGTGGGCACGGGGAGTCGTTGGGGGAGCTGGTAGGGGGAGCTAGAAGGGAGACTTGGCCACGAACCGCCAAGCGATTGAGGCGCGTAAGTGGCAGCGTGCCGATCGATCGGCCGCGCGAAACAGAGACCCCTTCTTCCCTCACCTACTGCGTCTTTTCATTCCCGTACTTTTGCATATCATGTCTCACCCTTCGCTCTTACTCTCGTATATGTTGATTCTCGCCCTCGTGTTACGTACGCAGCGCCACTACGCAGCACTAACACGACTTCGTCAATGGCTACGCACGACAGCACAAATACCAGTTGAACGACCACTTTGGCCAACCAGCCACCACCCAGAACCTGCACTGCAATATTTTTCAAGCAGTAGCTCATCGACTTCTTCGAATTGCACGCCGAGAGCGGGAAACACGGGCAGCAGCACGTAAACTGATACGAATTGCATCAGCGCGCACCATGCTAGACCAGGAGACACAACAGCACCTTCACGGAGCTCACTAAGCCCTCGATCAGTACAACAGTGCACAACAACCACCTATATTCTGTACTGGCGCAATGTCCAGTGATGCACACACCCCCACCCCAAAGGCAAAGGCAAGGGGAAACACCTACACCGACACAACAACAACAATAATAAAAAAGGACCCACTGGGCAACCAATTGGCAAGGTAAGCCGCACTTTCCCATCCTACCCAAGCGCAGCATACCAACCAGCACCAAGGCAACCCTGCCACCAAAACTACGACGGCACCTACCAAAAGTCAACCAGAGCACAACCAATGGGAGCAAACACAGCACGTGCTGCACCCACCACGACCAGCTACATCAAGAACAAATTACTCCGACGGAAGGACCCCACACGATAATCTCTTTAGCTTGCATGGGGGTGTCCTCCTGCCCCTTCCCTTCTCCCAACTACTCTTGCCTCCTCGTTCTCCTCCTGTCTGCTCCTCCTCCTGCCTCAACCCCTGCCTCTTCCTCCTCTTCTTGCCTCCTCCACCTCCTCCCCCTCCCCCTCGTTATGCTTCCTCCCCCCCATTCCCCCTGCCCCTCCTGCCTCCTGCCTCCTCCTCCTGCTCTCCCTCTCCCTTCTCCTCCTCCTCCTCCTCCTCATCCCCTGTCCTCCTCCTCTCCCTCTCCCTCCATCCTCTCCTCCTCCTCCTCCTCCTCCTCCTCCTCCTCGTTTCCTCCTCCCCCCTCCTCCCCCCCCCTCCCCCCCCTCCTCCTCCTCCTCCTCCTCCTCCTCCTGCCTCCTCCTTAGGCCTCCTGCCCCCTCCTGGGGCCTCCTGGGGCCTCTTGGGGCCTCCTGGAGCCTTCTGGGCCTTCCGGGACCTACTGGGGCCTCCTCGGGCATTCCTCCTCCTCCTTTTCCTCCTCGTCCTTCCTCCCCTCAGCCTCTTCCTCTTCCTGCTTTCCTGTCTCGTCCTGCATCATCCCTCCTCCTTTTCCTGGCAATCCTCCTCCTCCTCGTCCTCGTGCGGAACACGACCCAGAGGAAGCGCACGACGTGCGTCCCAGCCGATACGCGCCGGAGGACGACCCAGAGGAAGCGCGCGCCGGAGGATGACCCGGAAAAACCACGTGAGCTGCGGGACCCATCGGAAGGCTCTCGCCTGACGCGTCCTCACAATTCACTCACAGACGAGGCTCCCGCTTGATACGTGTTCCAAATTCAGACCTGAGGAGCCCAAAAGTGACGACTGTTACAGGAATCCGATGACCCGCTCGGATAAATAACATGATCTGCGGGCCTCATAGGGAGGGGGCTCCTGCCTGAGACTTGCTCGCAATTCACTGACAAACGAGGCTCCCGCCTGATACTTCCTCCAAATTCAGACCTGAGGAACCCAAAAGTGACGACAGTTACAAGAATCCGATGACCCGCTTAAATTAATAACATGATCTGCGGGCCCCATAGGGAGGGGGCTCCCGCCTGACGCGTCCTCAAAATTCACTCACAAACAAAAGTCTCGCTTGATACTTCTTCCAAATTCACACCTGAGGAGCCCAAAAGTGACGACAGTTACAAGAATCCGATGACCCGCTCGGATTAATAACATGATCTGCGGACCCCATAGGGAGGGGGCTTTGAGACTTGCTCGCAATTCACTGACAAACGAGGCTCCCGCCTGATACTTCCTCCAAATTCAGACCTGAGGAGCCCAAAAGTTACGACAGTTACAAGAATCCGATGACCCGCTCGGATTAATAACATGATCTGCGGGCTCTAAGGGAGGGGGCTCCCGCCTGAGACTTCCTCGCAATTCACTCACAAACGACGCTCCCGCTTGATACTTCCTCCAAATTCAGACCTGAGGATCCCAAAAGTGACGACAGTTACAAGAATCCGATGACCCGCTTAGATTAATAACATGATCTGCGGGCCCCGTAGGGAGGGGGCTCCCGCCTGGGACTTCCTCACAATTCACTCACAGACGAAGCTCCCGCTTGATATTTCCTTCAAATTCAGATCTGAGGAGCCCAAAAGTGACGACAGTTACAGGAATCCGATGGCCCGCTCGGATTAATAACATGATCTGCGGGCCCCATAGGGAGGGGGCTCCCGCCTGAGACTTCCTCACAACTCACTCACAGACAAAGGTCCCGCTTGATACTTCTGTCAAATTCACACCTGAGGAGCCCAAAAGTGACGACAGTTACAGGAATCAAATGACCCGCTCGGATTAATAACATGATCTGCGGGCCCCATAGGGAGGGGGCTCCCGCCTGAGACTTGCTCGCAATTCACTGACAAACGAGGCTCCCGCCTGATACTTCCTCCAGATTCAGACCGGAGGAGCCCAAAAGTTACGACAGTTACAGGAATCAGATGACCCGCTCGGATTAATAACATGATCTGCGGGCCCCATAGGGAGGGGGCTCCCGCCTGAGACTTCCTCACAATTCACTCACCAGACGAGGCTCCCGCTTGATACTTCTTTCAAATTCAGACCTGAAGAGCCCAAAAGTGACGACAATTACAAGAATCCGATGACCCGCTCGGATTAGTAACATGATCTGCGGGCTCTATAGGGAGGGGGCTCCCGCCTGAGACTTCCTGACAATTCACTCACAGACGAGGCTCGCGCCTGATACTTCCTCCATATTCAGGCCTCAAATCAGCGAGTAGTGATGATGATGATGATGATGATGATGATGATGATGATGATGATGATGATGATGATCGTTCGATGTCGATGATGGTGAGTGATCGTGGGATGGTGATGGTGATGATAATGGTGATGATGATGATGATGATGATGATGATGATGATGATGATGATGATGATGATGATGATGATGAGTGGGGAGTGATGATGATGGTTATGATGATGCGGAGGACGAAGCAAAGAGGAACAGAGGGGAGGGAGGAGGACGAGAGATCCTGCGCGGAGGGTGTGCAGAGATAATTACTCCGACGGAAGGACCCCACATGAGAATCTCTTTAGCTTGCATGGGGGTATCCTCCTGCCCCTTCCCTTCTCCCACCTACTCTTGCCACCTCGTTCTCCTCCTGTCTGCTCCTCCTCCTGCCTCAACCCCTGCCTCTTCCTCCTCTTCTTGCCTCCTCCACCTCCTCCCCCTCCCCCTCGTTATGCTTCCTCCCCCCCATTCCCCCTGCCCCTCCTGCCTCCTGCCTCCTCCTCCTGCTCTCCCTCTCCTCTCTCCTTCTCCTCCTCCTCCTCCTCATCATCCCCTGTCCTCCTCCTCTCCCTCTCCCTCATCCGCTTCCTCCTCCTCCTCCTCCTCCTCCTCCTCCTCCTCCTCCTCCTCCTCCTCGTTTCCATATTCCTCCCCCCTCCTCCTCCTCCCCCCTCCTCCTCCTCCTCCTCCTCCTCCTCCTCCTCCTCCTGCCTCCTCCTTAGGCCTCCTGCCCCCTCCTGGGGCCTCCTGGGGCCTCTTGGGGCCTCCTGGAGCCTTCTGGGCCTTCCGGGACCTACTGGGGCCTCCTCGGGCATTCCTCCTCCTCCTTTTCCTCCTCGTCCTTCCTCCCCTCAGCCTCTTCCTCTTCCTGCTTTCCTGTCTCGTCCTGCATCATCCCTCCTCCTTTTCCTGGCAATCCTCCTCCTCCTCGTCCTCGTGCGGAACACGACCCAGAGGAAGCGCACGACGTGCGTCCCAGCCGATACGCGCCGGAGGACGACCCAGAGGAAGCGCGCGCCGGAGGATGACCCGGAGGAACCACGTGAGCTGCGGGACCCATAGGAAGGCTCCCGCCTGACGCGTCCTCACAATTCACTCACAGACGAGGCTCCCGCCTGATACGTCTTCCAAATTCAGACCTGAGGAGCCCAAAAGTGACGACAGTTACAGGAATCCGATGAGTCCCATAGGGAGGGGGCTCCCGCTTGAGATTTGCTCGCAATTCACTGACAAACGAGGCTCCCGCCTGATACTTCCTCCAAATTCAGACTTGAGGAGCCCAAAAGTGACGACAGTTACAGGAATCCGATGACCCGCTCGGATTAGTAACATGATCTGCGGGCCCCATAAGGAGGGGGCTCCCGCCTGAGACTTGCTCACAATTCACTCACCAGACGAGGCTCCCGCTTGATACTTCCTCCAAATTCAGACCAGAGGAGCCCAAAAGTGACGACAGTTACAAGAATCCGATGACCCGCTCGGATTAGTAACATGATCTGCGGGCCCCATAGGGAGGGGGTTCCCGCTTGACGCGTCTTCACAATTCAC